CTTGGGCGAATCGAAGAGGTTAGTCGCAACCCAATCCACTCGATCAGATAAGCGTTGTTTTTGTCTCCCGCAGTACAGTGCACAACATCACACAAAAGAGCCCATCAAAAATTGATCTAGTTGTTTCCATTCTTCAGCTTCCTATTAAACTTACTGTCGAAATACACACACTTAGAGTGTGTTTATACAAGGTGAATGGATTTGAAGATGATGAAGACGATGATGACCGCTTGAGAAATCTCGGTGCCCACCCTAACAACCCCTACTGCTCACCACCGGGTTCGGTAATTTACATTAAGTATAGTGCACGCTCGGTTTCCCTCGGGGACGTTAATTTTTCTCACAGTGGTCACTGTGGACGGGGGAGAATGACAAACACAAAAAAGACTAAGACAATTCACTCCAATTTCCACTATCTAGTTTTGAAGTATGCGCAGCCCAGTGTACTCTAGCTAGGCTCGCACGGAACAGTAAAAATACATTTTTATAATTTGTCCCACAAACAAATTATTTTTGTTGTTTGTGTCAACCTTAGTCTGCGATTCGACGCTATCCTCTTTGTGGTATAAACTCGTCATTGTCCATTATTTGCTTAGCTCCCGAATATTAGTTAGAAATTAAAACGCAAACCGTCACAAAATGTTTTTGAAAGTAGCATTTAAAATTTGACTGTCTAATTAATAGTCTAATCTGCAGTTGCATGCTCATCCGCACATCAGTGATTCGAACAAAAAAATGGTAACTTATTTTAGGGGGTTGTTCCATTATCCCGGTGGTAGTACACCAAAATCATAATGTTGCTGGCTAGCAGATAAAGAGTAGTGAAACGAAATCTTTCAGATATGCGCAGGATGTGGATTCATTTTTATTCGGCATACGGAACGAAGCATCAAATGCGTTTCGTATTTGTATTCCAGCTAATGTGCAGCCCTCGGTTTTGAACTTAGTGCAGGCATTTACGTGGATAACTGCCGAGAATTCAACGTGTATTTAACATTATCTATCACTTTTTTTAACATGCTGTGTACTCTACTTCTGGTAAAATGGCTAGAATAACTTGCATTTGATGTGATTATGGCTAAAATGTACCAAATCTGCACACGTTAAACTGTTATCGATTTTGATAATGTGAACGGTAGAAAGTCAGCAATATGATGTTTGAACGGCAAACTATTCTGAAAATTTATTAGTTGGAGGTAATGATAATTGTTTTTGTCTTGTTGTTGTTGTACTTGTAGTGTAATCATAACCTACCTCTTTGGTGAGGACGCCTATGAACGGTTCATTTTGGATTGGAGCTTTATGTAGGGTATTGTATGGTATGATAGGTATGGTGTGCGAATTGCATATATGGTATTAATCAGTCAGTCGCACCCTTTCAGTCCTCAAGTTTTCTTCAGATTCTCTACCAATTCATCAGTTCTTTTTCGAGTGCAATACAAGTAGCGCTGTTCTCACAGGACAAGCGAGAATGTAGGCAAGGACAAACAGGAAAAACGGAATACGAGAAGAATGACAAATGCATTTCCGAAGATATAATCATAGAAAATGCTCTGTTCCCATCAATGTTTTCACCGTTACAGAGACACGTGGTCGACACGCAGTTAAATGGAAAGTCTCAAGGTTTACATGCCGGAGTAGAATAAGTAGTAATTTCATTGTTAGTAAGCCACGTCGACAACTGTCAAAATAGTTGCTGTGAGAGAAATAAAGTTGATTATGTCTACCGAAATTTCAAGGCCGCTGCTGCAGACAGAAGTGGGGGCAAGCACTTGAGCAAGGGCTGTTGAAACGCCATCTGGGACATAACAGTTTTAATTCGTTTTATTTAGTTCCTGGCAAATTAGATGTACCATCAATCTTCGTAAACGTTTATGCTGAAAATATTATATTTCTGGTCGCTCGGAAGTTCCATGAAACAATATTGCAGGCACCACTTGGTGGTGGTGCTATTCCAGAATAGACAAATAAATGAGTTGCAGACCGAGGTCAACCTAGTCAGATTCGCAGATGTTCAACCTATCAGCAATGGGGTTTTAATCCACTGATCGTAAAATGGGTTTCTAGACGTATCCATCAAGCGGATTATGGAAGACAGATTATAGGGACGTCGTTGTCTGTTGTTTCTCTCTGGGTGGTGAATTTATATATAACCAAACTTTGATTCATGCCTAGTACTGCAGAAATTATAAAACTGTCTTGCCGATACCACTGTTAATGTTCAGTGCAACGTGTCAGTCAATATCCCTACCATTGTCCATCGTTAATATTTTGTATTGTAGTCTTTCTCTCTGTGACCAGATTTCTTAACCCTGCAGTACGTAGCATTCGCCTTTAAGGTTGCAACACCATGCTGTTCCGCTTCACAGTTGTTATTCGGCTTTCTGTATTAAACTAATGATGTCTTCGAAGCATTGCTTGTGTTGGATAAGAACTTCAGATGAGCACTCATGAGGTTCTTTGCCGTACATTTAGTTATGCTAATCGTTTTATGAAAGAAATAATCAATCTGTACTGCCTCCAATGGCTCGGTCTTATTTGGCACATGCCTGCCAGTCATCTGCTCTTCCGTGCTATCTTAGCACGATTTCGACCAGGCTGGAAAAACCGTTTCGGGGATCAGACCATGACCCGATGCTGAGGTATGAAGAAATTAGCTTCATCAATGGCTCTGGTTGCTGCAGTTAGCTTTCTAGTTTGGGGCCCAGGGTATGTTGGTTGCACCCCCAATTGGGTATATGGATTGAGATTTTTCATTTAGGCCAAATACAATACACGAAGTTTGACGACGTTTTATTGTTTTATATTCGCTCTGCATGCGATGAATTTGATTTCTATCTTAAAATCAGCTTCACTTTTGTTTGTTCAATGAACAAAAAAAGGAAATGAAGTTTAATTTTATTATTGTTAATTATTGTGTATCATGCAATATAGTCATAAGTATAAAACATGCGTCTCATTCTATTAAATGTGACATTTACAGTGAAAATACAATCTGTGGAACAATTTACTGTCCATCCTCGAAGTGGTACAGAGCAATCTCTATGAAAACAATCTGACGAAGAATTGCTTTCACAAATACCTTATCACAGCCTTCTATTTCATATGGTGTTTGAAGGCTAACATAGGCCTGTGTGAAACGGATCACCCTGCGCATTGTCCCATTGGAGACGACAGTTACAATCCGTCGGTCATCTAACTGAGTTTTGTTGCGTAGGTGTTCCCTTTTTGATGTAGAATTCTTTTTTGTGTGAAAGAGGAAGGGGGTGCTAGTATTACTGAACCAAAGGGAGCTCAAGAGCAGGGATTAAATTCATATTGACACTCAAGAGTCTCCTCATGTCGCTTCACACACCACGTTTGCGGTTGGTCGTATTAGATCCCATTCAGAATGAAACTATCAATGTGAATGCTCCTCTTCCATATAGAATTGTATATGACTGGTTAATTAATTATTGCCGTACCAAGTTGTTTGCTGTGTTTCAATAAGGATCGTTTTATGTGTTGTTTTTGAGTTTACACAATAACAAGTACTTTGACTCAGCTAGCTCAAGTGTTGTCCCTCAATATGGAATGATGTTTTGCGTGTTGTGCGCCTGATGCAAGTGATGTAAAACTTCCAACTTATCCGTCTGCGAAGCTAAAGCTCGATTCATTTTTCTTCTATTATAAATAAATTTCTTCTGTCCCAAACACCAAATGATCCTAAATGAGGCGTGAATCAGTCGATACGGATCAATAAGCCTAATTAAACTGTCTTCTTATTCGCTGTACAACAAAAAGACAACTTCTATTGATTTGCGAACATTTAAATTTGTTACAATTGGCCAATGAAATCTATCACTCAAGTGAAAATGTCTTTCTTACAATAGATGTCTGTTGGCACCTCAAGTTAACTTTTAGCATCTAATGGACGGAATATTACTCGTTGTTCTATGAGAAGGATGGCTCAAACTTGAGAGAATAGGGACAGCTTTCGTTATAGTGGGAACGGCTAAGAAGTGAATTTTACGGAATCGGTTTTAGGGCCACTTGTTCAACTTTGCATAAAGTAAGCCTTGAATTATCACTGGAATAAATAGACCAGGGTTGGTTGGAGTAGTCCGTAATGGAAGAAATCGCCAACGTTAATTTCTAATTAGGTCTAATTTTCTCATCTTTTTTAATCTGAGTTTTTATGTAACTGATCATTCTCATTGTGTTTGTTATGAAACTTGAAATTAGCCTGTTTCTCACAACCGAAGAAACCAATACGTCCGAGTAAGCAAAAACTCCCGTTCTTTAGATAGGTCTTCGGTGATGAGCCGTATTCGAGTTGATTCAGTTGGAATGACTTCGGTGAAACTTCAGTGAAACTATTTCAACGTTGGTGATACTTCATGCAATAATTTACTATGTTTCTGCAAATAAAAAGCCTATTTGGGGGAATGGATAATCGAACCCCAAATTGGCCTTACCCAAGGAAAGTATGTAGAAAGTATGATCTCTTTCTCGAAAAGGCTGTAACCGAGGTGCGTGATTTTGATTCAGTAAAAGTGTATTAATGAATATCGTTTGAAAAACAAACACACAATTAAACCAATAATGGAACTGGTTGATTTGAGTTCATAAAACATCTCACCAAACGTATGCACATACCCCAGAGGACCTAATAACAATTGGCGTAAATCGTCACAATAGTATATGAATAGTTTCTTAAATGTTTCACGAGGTACCGTCCTACCGGGAATTCAACCAGTAAATTTCGAAGACTAATAGCTGTTATAGAAGAGAATCAGACGGAACTCATAGAAAGAGTTTGTGTTTCAACATATCCTTCGTTTTTAAAGAAGTTTTGTTTTGAAAAATATGCTTCCAGAGGTGTGAAAGTACCCATGGTAAACAAATATTATACGACACATTTTTTTAAATTTTCATTGCGTGTTTAACGTCTCCTGCACAATTTTCATTGCTTTCCACACGGCAAAATGTTCAATAATCCGGTTCAATTCTGTCGATAGGAATTTTCAGGAACGCGCTGAAGGTGTACTAAATGAATGCTACCGCGAAGATGAACATCGAACTCAACTGATAATCAACCATGAACTGACGTACTACGGTCGTAGCTCAGTGATCAAGCTGGCAGCTGAGGGTCAAAGCATCAAATTCATGGCTCATCCTTGCTGTCAAGACTTTTTAACGAATACGTGGAGTGGAAATCTGTCTACAAAGAACAGTGTCTTTCGAGTACGTTCACTTTAAATTTCAATATGTTCGTGACCGCTGATAATTATTTCTTACTGATTTGACCAACTAATAGTATTTCATTGTTCGCTTATATTACATTTTGAAATACATTCTTGTAACAACCCTACTTAACAAAAATCATCAACATATGGTAATGCGTAATAGTGCAGTAACTGCCAGATTGACACTGTCCATACGGAACAGATGCAATGTGTGTTTGATGTAATTCAACGCACTCTGGGAAAACTTATTCAGTCATAATCATTTTAACAATTTTGCGCGTGTGGAAGCCAAAAGTGGTTCTCGGGAGAAGGGCGGGATCCCGAACACCCAATGGAGACAGTTAATCTCTGTCCATCTTATTCACCGATAAAGTCCAATTGAAAACATGAACATTGACGGAATTCCATATCACTGCTACATAAATTAAGCTTCACAAAAATAGATTACTTTGACGTGAAGACAGAACGGCATGACTCTTTATATATTGTACCAGATTAAGTATGCTAAACGAACAGCAAGTTGTGATGACACCATCAATGGGAGTTTTCTGTTTTGACCCATGTGAATTGCCAAACTGTTCTTCTTTGCATTGGATCCACCCATCTACACGCTGCCTTGATTTGGAGCTCTTTAATAGGGTTTCTTCTGACTACAAAACGGGAAATAACGTTTTGCAGTTTGGGTTTTTGTACTTAATGCCTAGTTCGAAAAGGAGAACAGTGAGCGTTTTCCGGATTAATGTCATAGTTACTCTTCACCAAACGTACCAAAAGTATTATTGATGTTCTTTTACCTGGATACAGACCCATTCACTGGGGCATTGTGTACACATTTCACTTGCATACAGCATTGATTGGTTGCCTCAAAAAGAACTTATTAAGGTCTATCACTTGTTTTATACTAACAAGTAGTTATTTGAAACTGATCCTTTTGTTTTAATTTTTAGTACTTTTTGGGCATAATATGCGGACTGACAATGCCGTTTCTCATTCCAAAAATCATCCTTGCCAAACCGAAAGCTCAGCCAGTCGGCGAGGAAGAAGTACGTTATCCCCATTGCATTTTTTTTCTCATTGAGGTTATCCGTTATTTAATCCACCCCGAAAAATACTTTTTTCTTTTATCATGTCATGTTACGTGATTCGTCATAGACTTACTGATCTGTCGCTATCTGTTGCACATCACACTTCTTAAGCTTGAAAATTCTCTGACGCCCTACAGACGTGAATCACGCTTTTGGGTGTGGCATTCTATGAAAACTGGACCGGATCTGATGTGGTTTATCGCATACATTTTATTGATTAATGCTGATACACTCGTGAGTTACAACCGGGGACAGTAGGAAACACCTGACCACATCCCACACAATGTTTTGTTGGCTTCGTTTTTTCAAGTAAATTGAGCAAGAATATACAATGGCGATGGAAATAAAATGACTCAGATAGTGCACGTGCTCGCCTAACCTTCTATCAAGCTGATGGAAAACAATGAGAAGAACCAAAATCCGATTAGCTCCGAATGCATTAACAACTTGAGCAGTTTAGGGGTTACGTATGTGCCTCTGTCTGATTCAGTGAGCTGATATATTTTGAATCAATATTTATCATTCGAATTCACGCAATCGTATAAAATATTTTAGCTGTGCTTAGAGATAAAATGCTGGGATTGGAGAAACATACATATATATATATTGAAATCTTTTGGACAGCTTTCAGTGAAACTTTAACCTAAGATCTCTTAACATCTAGACCTTTTTCAGTTTAAGATGTCCAAAATCCACTTTAAGATGTCGCAATATGAATTTAAGATGTCCAAGTATCAATTTAAGATGTCATTTTGCTATGTTTTCACTCTGTATTGTGCATGGTAACATCCACATAGCAACTTGACACTTTAAATTGATACTCGGACATATTAAATTCATATTGCGACATCATAAATTGAATTTCGGACATCTTAAACTGAAAAAGGCATAATTGTCCACCAATATTGGTGGACAACTAATATAAAATCGACATTCAGGACTGTAATTACAATCATACAAAGGCTGTCTACTGTGATGCAGAAACAGAGACGATGGATGACGGGGGTGGAATTTGCACTCGGCCATCGTTTTCATTACCTGAACCACTCGAATACGACCATCGTCATTCAATTGAATGGATATATGAATAAAAATCATCCTACTTCATATATCAAAAGCTATCCGATGCCATTCATTGATGTAGCTTTCAAACGAGCTAGAAGCCTAAATGAATAAGCTTGAATTAGTGAGAAACAGCAGCTGCAATATCACTGATTAGCACTAACTGCCCTGCTCGCTCGAGATGATTTTATTCATTTAGTTGATGCATTGGTTGTGGCGCAGTGGTTTAATCGCTGTCACTGGCGTGCTTTGGACCCTATGGTTCGAGATTTAAGCCCCGCCACCGCCACCCAACTTTGGTGATAGACAGTCTTGCTGTCGTCCGGTTCAATACGACGCCTTATGTGGTTCGCCACTCCAAGTTCCGGGGTTTAGGTTACCGATTTCCAAGACGAAGCAGCAGGTCTTCGTGACTATGGGGTTCACCCCGTCTGCTGTTCACCACACAAAAGTGTGTAATAAAAAAAGACATTTTGCCATTCGTAAATACCATTTAGGGCCAGAGATAGTTGATAAGGAAGCAAACCGGTGAATGTATTGAACGAACTTACTCACCTAAACTGGAACCAGAACATGCGTACGCATCACTACTTTCGCCTTCTTCTGACAACAGAAATCCTCACCTATTCATCAGCCAACTACCAAATTCTAATAAAAATTTATCCCTTAAATTACCAGTATAGAAGGTACTCAATGTATGCAGTGTTATTTCAGGACAATTTACTGTATTTGATTGAGGATAAATGAGAAACAATTACGAGTAATATGCGTCATAATTGATCATACATTAACTGCACTATACCCGTTCTCCTCATTTGTTATTATGCCGGCCAAGTTGTCCAAGAAAACGATTGATTTCAAAGCCGATGGGCTCATATGTGATTAATTTGAGGGATTATATAGAGAGTAAAGAAGATGGATTATCCATCCGTGTTGTACACAGTGCACACTGAAGTAATTGCCAAATTCACGATCACTGTGGAGAGGTTAAAATGCCACTGGTGATGGTGAACAACAACAACGACAACAACGTGAAACAACATACCCATACTTCTGGCACACACACACACCCGCTATAGAAAATAGTAGAAATTCAGTCAATCAAAACCCCTCCAAAATTCTACTTATTGATACATTTTTTTTAATTGGTGAAAAGCAGTCCGGGAAAATGTTGTTCGTTCCATTGGCGGACAAGCCCCGCAGAGGATGGTGGTGTACCTTTTTCTAATTTCCTTGGCTATTACTCTACAATGTAACGTTTCTCCCTCACACGAGGAATGTATTTGTTAACATCTGTGCTACTGTCCGATTGAAACCAGTCATGCACTAAACAGGTCGACAAGAAGAGTAACAACCTGATGATTTTCCATTCACTAATTTCCATTCTTCTTTTCAGGAGGCCACTGGACATCCAGAAACTGCGCCAGCAACTACAGAGGAGCCATCCACCACGACACTGTTGGGTGGAGGTAGTATTGGCAAGCAGAGGTATGATTTTGCAGCAATTATTTGACCAACCAAACTCTCAGTTCAATGTTTCAATTACCCTAACACTAGGTAAAAGATAACGTTCTCAAATTTATCCGATGGATTTACCGCCATAGTGTGAATAATTATCATTAAAATCCAGTATAGTATCTTCCGTCTTATCGTCTTTTTAATCAATCCATCAGGTACTGATCCGGAATATAACATACAGTGTGGCTGAACGGAGTAGGAAACTTCCGCAATGTTCAGCTTCGCAGGACACCTTCAAGCATAAGTTCACAAGTTTGACTGCTTGTCAGATTTCTATTTCAATAATAGGCAAGCAAACATCTCTGAAAAGCATGGAGACAGCTTGCTCATTTTGTGCTTAAAGAACTCAGTGAAAATCGTGAATTATTCAGGCTGAGAATAAGACGGAAGGTGCCGCCCATGGAATTATACCACTGAGCATCCACTCAAAAGATGATGCAACACAATAGTACGCAAACTATAGTCATTGACAATTATGCCAAAAACCACCGGATTTCCCTATGATCCCAATAAGACTATTCCACATTCCATGATATCGTTACTGACACCAAATCTCAAAATGATTATCCGCTTTCTACAAAAAATCCCCTCACGGCTTGGATCGCGCTCGAGCCATGGTGATCAGAACTAGTATGCACAAACTGCTGGTTTCTAAAGGTGCTATGGACATGCTGCACTGAGTGACAACCACTGCGAGTCGTTTAAATGCAATCTGTGAATAATTCATTCATTCGTACTCATGCACTCAATAATCGACACGAAACAAGCAAATGTGTATTCCTCATGCTTCTGCATACTTCTCTAATGATGCAAGCAGTAAAGTTTTCCTTCGCTGATCAGCATTACTGATAATTTACCGCACAATACGCAATAAGTTTTTGCCAGCAACCTCCTAATACAATCATACATGAAAAAATATTGATTCCATTTGTTTCTCTTTTCCTTTATAGTATGGAAGTTGAATTTGGATTTTCGTACCTTATTTTGTAATTATTGACCTATTAGGTGTATGGTAAAGAAACTGTGCTTACTCACGTAGGTAGGTAATCTCATCTTCAAACAGAAATTTAGATTGTCTGTTAAGGGCTTTTAGTGTGCAGAGGGCTCTTCGTTCGCGAATCAATGGGTTCGATATGTACCCGTAGCCTTGCAACACTTTCAGCGGAATATTTCCTCCGTTTGATACTTTGGTTGGAACTTTGAATAGCGAACACTGATTCGCTTTGCTGCGTACCCTACGGCACAATCTCAAAACAACATGGTCAAAGATTTGTAATGATGCTGTTTCCGGGATCAATAACAGATTGTTTCCGTCTGTAATGAACCAAATAATCCGCCTAATTGGACAGTACACAAAACTTAGAAAACGGATTGGTATACTGTTTGTTTCTACTGAACCCACAAGTGATGACCTACAACGAGGAACCTAAATTTAAAATCGAATGCCCTAGATATTAGCTCAGCTAAATGATTTGTCTCTGGGGCACAAGATCATTGAGCCCAGTCTATGTCACTAAGCGCAATAGAAATAAATCCCCTTTGAGAAATTTTGCCTGTCCTTAATGTTAAAACAGCTCACAGTTGAGGTGGATTACTCGTGAAAAATCATCACAGAACTAAACAAAAATTGAATAAAGGTAAAGCGTCTCCCCATCGTGTTTCAAATCGACAGGAAGATCAGCTGTGCAGATTAAAAAACTTTCATGCGAAACTTGTCATCTCTGAAGCCTATATCTAGCCAACCCGTGGGATTATTCCTGTATCCCTATTTTGTTGTCGAAAAGGGCTGTCAACAACGAAATAATCAATTTATTCCGGTAGTGGTCTTACGTTCCGGATGGCATCACTAGAATTTTGAGTTCGTGAACGAAACAACGTCATCCGGGCAGTTTTTCACCGTGTTTTTCGATTTCATTCAATTTTTCATCCCTAAACTCAATTTAATCACAAAATATTGATGGCAAAATCATTAATTTAATCAATAAATTTGAAGTAGAAGACCTAAAATGACATTCAGAAAACCAAAACTGCTAAATGCTATGCCTTCGTTGGTGGGTTTCTGCAAGATGCACTCAACTCTATGTGAGTTTGCTGTTCCTGAGCGACTCAGAAGTCCATACCGTAAAATTGTATATCAAATTCCCCTACTGTGATTATAGCCATTCTAACTAGCTGCATCTTTTTTCGACTTGGAAACAAAAAACCCTCCGGAGATTAGACGATGACGGATAACTAAGGTTCTGGACGAATCTAGATCCATGAGACAAAGAGGCATTAGGACGATTGTGCTGTTTCATCCTCGGGCGATTTTATACGCTCGAGGACATCAAATGAATGATGACTGTCGAAATCTCCGCAATCGCGACATTTTTCTGAGTTGTTTGAGCCTAGCAAAGGACACATCAACTGAATGGTAAAACAATCGATTGGAACAATGTTTGATGCAAACATTTGATTACCAATTTAACCAGTAAAACAAAACCAGCCAAATAACGTTTAGCGTAATTATTCATGGGTTTAACAATCGTAAGCACTTTTTCTTCACAGACTTTCTGTGAACATTTACTACAAGAGCGTTTAAACATAGAACTGAAAAGACACTTTGACCTCTATCATTTTTGGGCTAAAACGAATCTCGCAATTTAATTGTTTTACCCGGGTTGATAATGCCAGTAAAATATTTCGTCACGAAAGACCAGATAAACTCAGACAATTACGATATTAAGTCTCTGCCCACACCAGATTTTTCAAGTCAATATTTCGTTCTGCCTAACTGATTGCTGGAGTAAACAAGACGCCATATCAAGTGACGGTAATGACTTGTCCAACTTTCGCAAACACCATTGTAACTCTTCATTTTATTTGATGGAACCATTTAAAAATTATACTCACTTTCTCTCAAAAATGACAGAAAAATATCTTTGAGAAGGCTCACAAATAAATACTTGAATATTGTTTTTAATAGTGCTTATTTTATCTTGATCATCACGGATGTAATAACCTGTTTATTTTTTCGTGATTTTCTTGCTTGCTTCTCAAAAAGTCTCCGGAAAAGTTTTCACGCTAGTACAAGGGAATATTTTCAACAAATTCGAGACTTCTACATGGCCCCGGTAATACGATTTGTGTACAATACGGTAAGTTAACCGAACCCCCGACACCAACTACCAGTCATTCTGAATGACCTGTTTCGTATGTTGAAAACGAATAATTTCCAAGAAAAATTTTAGTTTGAAGTTCCTGTTGGGAACGAACGCATACTCCGTAAAAATTGTTTTCGTTTTGTTTTCATATTTCAGAAATCCACATAGGCAAGTAGTTCGTGCCTATTGAAATATAACAAAATAATGGACCGTAACGATCGATTTCCAATCAATTGCGACGGATTATTAGCTGGGAACAAAACTTATAACATCTACTACACAAAGTACAGCAAAGGTTTTAACAAATATTAAAATGCCTAAGCACTTTAAACAAATTCATTTTAATTCAGGAAACTTAGTTGTTCACCTAATTGATCTTAGGTGTTCATTATACGTGTGACAACTTAAAGAACAATCAACCGTAGCGATGTTTCACAGAGTTTTAAGACACATCTGACAAGACTTGACTCACTCTTCTATCCGACTAGGTCACTTTGATAATAGTCACACAACGTCTTTGTCTCGTTTTCTCATTATTTTATTCCGTTTGACATTTCTAGCTAGTATTTTGTTTAACATTTTACATCAATAACGGAAAATGGTGGATACAGATGTATGAAATTGCCACACTCATTTCGATGTGAGCAGTTCCATACTTTGGCCCATTTGCCAGACGGAATTTACTTTTTTCAAATGCGCAGATAGTATCTGTGAATAAACCCGATGAAGCTTTTCTGTCTTGGATAAATTGAGCAAAGCTTGACCGTGTGTTGGGGGATGAACCACCACATCACTGAAGCTTGGGAACAAATACATGTCATCAAAGAAATACCTTCACGCCACTTACGAATTATGCAAACTACAGTTTGCGGTCAGCGAATAATTATGATAATGACTATACTGCATATACTGCATGTCCATTCACATTAAAAAGACGGGCTGCTAATTGGAACAGATACCTATTCCGGATGCTGCACGCCACCGCAACCATTAGCGAAATCATTTGAGATCACGTATCCTGGTACGATTGAGTAAATATCCTACGATTCAAACTCAAAAATTTAAACCACAGATTCAGATAATTCCGTGTGAGCCTAGTCTTCTAAATATTCAACCCCCTTGTGAAATAACGAAATTTTTTGACCAGAATTGATTAGTATCGTTATCCTTAATAATACAGAAATACCCCTTCACCAAATATAAGCCATAGCAGGATGTTAAAAGTTATTTTTCATATAGGCCCTACCCCGAACATAATTTCCACTCAAAACCGCTTCTAACTGGTACCTTGCTATCGATGAATCGAATAGATGGGAATAGTAGGGTCATCACACTGCGGGACATTCGTCACACCTCTGTAGTAAATATCTAATTATTATTTAATTTCATGATAGATTTTGGAACATAATATCCCGGATCTCAGATAAAATGATAGTGAAAAAGGCTTTCGTTTACCTATAGGAAAGCAATGCTGTAGACTTCCAGGCAAGAATCTAACAATCAGAGTACCTCGATAATAGAGAAAGATGAGCAGGATAGCATCAGTCAACTGGTGCGAAAAGGAAATCTGGAGGATTGCAAGTGTAGATCACGTCGTTAAACATTATTCACTGAACCGGAAGGCATAATCTGTGACTGAACTTGCGGACAGCTGATCAAAGAGATCGAAAATGCTCAATTCCAATTGCAAGTGCAACATACTCCGAAGAGAATCATAAGTAATGAACTGCCAGCTGGACGGGTTTTTTAGTGATACAAATTGTCTCTCACTCGATCGACAACAATGTAAATCTGGAGGACAATGAGGCGATTAGAGATTCGAGTATTTTATCAACAGGATATAATTTTCTAAATAAAAACACTCCAACTAGATGGTGCTGATTTAACGTGAGATTTTATGGGACAGCAACCTCAAACGACAAATGATCAGTTGTGGACCTTGTCGATCTACATTCCGGTGATAAAAATACGAATAGGACCTGTATTTACATGAAAGGAAAGTTCGACTTTGGATCACCAGGAAAGGCCAAAAGGACGAAAATTGAACGTATTTTAGGTATTTGAGTTCCTTAAACCGAATCGGTTTGATGCACCCACACAACTAGTCCTAGGAAAAAAGGTCTATTTACCAATGCCACCTGTTACTTTGCGAGATAATCAACGACGTCAGCAGGTCTAAGATTCACTCGGAATTCACAGTGCTCAAGACGAGTAATGAATGGAACGAATGTTTCTTACACGAGTTGGCTCTTATCTACAAACTCCTGACAAACAAAAAGCAAACCAGAACAACATCCCATTATTCTGGATTTAATTAATCTTCATTCGCAGCAATATTTTTCTCATTCTTATTTTATGGTGAAGCTTCTTCCTAATTCATATTATAATTTTTTCTTCGTAAAGGTAGAACATTCACCCTTTGAATGAATGAAGCTTGTTCTTACTTGAATTTATGTATCTACGGCATTTAACTTCAAGATGACGCATATAAGATCAGGCTGACCGCTCAGAAAATGCTACACTACCCCCTGCTGCTAGACGATTTTTTAATAACACCTTAGTGGGTAAAATAGTCTTTCGTTTGCTCATTCGGGCTTGGATACAATGTGGAACTAGTTCCCGCTAGCTAAAATAAATGACCCATTAAAAACGATACCTTTTTATGAATGAACTCTTTATCAGTCATGCAGTGAATACCTAGACCAGTTAAGTATGTACCACGTACTCAGTTTGCTGTGGCAAACTGCCGGTAATATTGTGCAAGTACAATTAAAATGCTCTTCAGACACATCACTTATCTTCAAGCGATACTCGGCAAACGAAGTGATTTCAGCACCAGGTTTTTCGGTAGAAACAACTGCATAGAAATAGTAGCATTTGTTATTTCATTCTCTTGCAAGCTTAGTCTGGAATAGATTAGCTCGGTTCGATGAGAAAAACGCTCTATGCATTATTCACGTACATCTCCCATCGCCATGGGCATGCGTTTACTTGTGTAGTTGGGGAGGGGGGAGCAGCTCATGCGTGCATCCTCCTCAACTGTTGGATTATTGCATAGCATATTGATTTGAAGTCGGTAGGTTTGGATTTTCTCTCGCTAATCGGGTATCGAGTAAGTGGAAATCAATAAACGAGTAGAATAGATCAGCACAAAATGGTTTCTCTTATCTACCATTTGTATCGTCGGCTGAGGCAAGTGTCAGTTGGTAGCTTGTGTATAGTTGGCATTGTAATGATAGGTGCTTCCGATCAAACTGTGGCAGCATACCTCCGTAGACCACACTTTAGTGCGCACTTAGTGAACGACTACTTTTTTAATTTTGGCGAGCCGCAGTTTAAGATCAGCAGAAGCAGAAAAGAATCGGTGTGGATTAAAACACTGTCGGTATTCATTACAGACTTTTCGACAAGGGTAATGCTATCAGAAGCACATCGAGAGCAACAGTTAGAAACATCAGTACGTGAATTGCGTTCGAATTGACACGCTTGGTTAACAAATGAAATAGGACACTTTTTCCTTTAATTACATTTTATCGAATGTGCAGTAGTGCAAGCAGCTTTTTCAGGGAGATTGAACACTTGGCGAGATGGCGCACATAGCTCACGATAGGTTGAGATAATTTTAGTAGTTCTGGGAATACTACAAGTAAACGATACGGAATGATTGGGTCGTAGGTGATTACCTCATATTGTGACGCGCACCAAGTCTCCACATTTCAACACAATAAGTTTTTTCCCCAGTTACTTGACAAGAAACAAGAGTACCTCACGGAATACCACCTAGGACTTTTACCATGATAACTCTATACGTTTCTTGGAGTGACAAGTTGAAACTTTATCAGAGACACGGGCTATATGTGCATCAAAAATACATCCCGGTTAGAGTGACATCAGATTATTTGGAATATGAGAATTTGCAAACTGACGAGAAAGTGTTGGTACAATCCCACATCGTTGACGTACTTCATAAGTCATCCAGGGAGGAATAGGGAACTGATTACCCAGAATGAGGATTGAGGACAAATCAGTGCAGGGGACCGCTCAATGAATATGTTTACATTTACATAGGGATAGTTTGAGACTATTTTTATAAAATCTATCAATGCAATATTATGCGACGAGTAGTTTTTTGATAAGTCAAGCAAATAAAAGTAGAAGAAAGAAGATTCAAATACGCAGTGAAATAGGCAACGGCATACACAACCGCATGCCAAAATCAGGATGTTGGCATCACAATATCAAGGTAAAGAGGAATTTTTGGGGGAATTTTCCGATTAAATGAATTAAAGAAGCCACTGCATTAGGCTCAAATTTTCCTGAATCTTCTTTTCCCACCAAGGATTCTGAGGAAAGAAATTGCGGGGAAGTGGAATGTTTGTGCCCTCCTTCTGTATTGTCATGCTCTGCACTGTTAGGATAGATGTGCTTTTTTATCGGTCAGATTGCCTTTGTCACCTGGTCAAACATGACGCCTCCACTGGGGTAATGTAGTGTGTTCCAAAAGTTCCTTGCTGAGTGTGAGTGAAAATGGAAATGATAAGCCATTAAATGGATGAGGAAATAAAGAATTAGGGTATAGAAGCAATGAAAATCAAAGACACCATTGAACAAATTGGAAAGGAAATGATAGTTGTGATGGAAAATTTCAGCTTTGGTAAATTAAAGTAAATAATTTGATTATCCGAGATATTTTTGACTATTTATCATGCAGAATAAATATTTTGTGAATAATCAAAAAATTGAATTCATTGGAATTTCTCGCTGATTTTCTTTTTCACAGATTTCCTATGTAACATTTCTGGCTCTGTTCAGTTATCTGCTTTTGGTGGATTTCAAGATTGAAATATCCGTTGTTGAGTACATTGTGATTGCTTGGGTTATCACGCTATTCATTGAAGAAATCAAACAAGTAAGTTCCATTTTGCAAACCTGCACAGGGCTTTTCCATAAGCATTGAAGTGTCGAATTTCCCCCAGACGTGGGCATGCAATCAAACCATATTAACCAGGTTAACTGAAACAAGCCAAAGTGGATTCATTGATAGACATCTAATGTCTAGGGTGTCTTATTTTCGGTATTTTCAGTTTAAATTTGTCTCACGTGATACATTCACTTGAAATTATCCCTTGAATTTTCCTTTTGTGCAAATATATATCTTCCATAAGCATATGTGCACTATCAAATTGCTGAGTCTCCGTTTTTCTTTTGCACCTCCTCCTCCTCAATTCAGATTGCATGGGTAAGTTCCAGCTATGTTAAAACTTCATTGTCAGTCCCCCCTCCAGTTAACCTGATATCCCCATGCAGGTTTCACAGTTACTTTTATGTTTTATGCCTGACATCATGTGTGTCCTTCGACTGAAAAGCTCTTTGGTCACAAGTTGTTTGTTTGGTTAACGTTAAACTAAAACAAAATAGTTTATCAAGTTCGTAAGTAAGGTTTGGTTACATTTAACTCAACGCATTATTGTTACATTAAGCTTAATTTGTCATATAGCCAACGCATTATTGGTGATTCAGCAGCTCGATTGCAAACATTGAACAGGTATTTGGAAGTCGGATCGGTCTTTTGTACGGTTAGTTATATATTTCCAGAGAAATTTCATCCAGTCATTCATGTTCTACTCATTGTAATGCTTATATACACATATAAATAAACATGTGCGTCATTCTTAATACGACCTTGGAAAGTGACAATACAAAAATCTGCATAACGGTTTTGTGCTTGAAACGGAACAATATCAATTTTTTTCTCGAATGAATAATCGTTTAGGTGCACCCCATCCAATGAAAAAGTCTTACTATCAGTGTTTGCCCAACTTAAGGAGTTTGGCTCTGCAATTAATCCGAGAAAGTTGTTCAATGTGGTGTGATATCCACTTACCGTCTGAACCATCCGATTCAGAACTTTAGTCAAGATTACCGGATCTGCGTGCGACCAAACGGCACACAGTAAATGGCATGACCGAAATTGCACAAACAAGGTGAGCTTTGGACGGCCAAACGGAGATACGGTTGGTGACCTAACGGCCATTCACAAATCGCAGTGGTCACTCGATCTCCATATACACCTAAAATTCTGACAACCTGCACTTTAGCTCCAACCCATACAGGAATTCTACCCTCCTAAATTTTCTGCCCTTCGTTGAGCTAATAACCTGGATACGAAGTTTGCTAGAACAAGGTTTAACTTACGTGGGTATGACGCTGTAACCAGGCCTTATTAGTATTCACGTATCACAGTCGGCGAGTTCTTTTAGTTTGACATCACTTTGGGCAACGAACTTATCAAACTCAGTAAACATATCGATGCCGTGATCCAAAGTTACAAACAATACCTTCAGAATGAGCTAACCGAGTAAAAATATGATAAAAATCCCGCTTTACAAGCCTCATAAGGAACTGAAAGATCAATATACAAAAAAGTGAATGCACTAGGAACCAAATTTGGATGAATAAAAACAACTGTTTACGAGGCGCGGTGTATAGTCAGAAAAAATAAATTGCCCCAGCTGGAGTACAGTTGAAGTGATATTCAACGTATGCTGCACATCAAACCTCGATTCGGAATTAGTACTTTGGATAAACAAAAGATCTATCTATCACACCTGCTGAACCAAACAGAATTTTTCGACTAATACTGAATGCTGTAGACGAAAAGTGAATGAAAGTATATAGAAACACAGCTTAGTGTTATACGAAGTAACTATTTGCGCCTGGTTATGAGCTACTGATGAAGATTTATTGCAAACGAGTGCTGTCTCTGCTTCAGTATGGTGAAAAGTGAGGCCGTTTCAATCGTTTTGTCCAAAGTGCTAGATCGCTCTCCCTCATTCACAGAATAAGCAAAACAGACCATGTTGTACAGTATATACCAGCAACGTTTATGGAAACTCATGCATTCCCTTATTGTGAATGAATTCGGTTGGCCGACTATGGTCGAGTCGATGACCTCCCTGCTGTCTTCTGAGTGATAATTCAAACAAAATATAGAGTCGCATCAAACTTGAAATCAGATAAAAAAACCAGCCTGATTTGAAGCCAATCATTCATTGTTTAATTGGGATCCGGTGTGAAGACCCTACTACTTAATGGTGAAAACCATTTCTACTAAAAACCCAGCGAGACCGAGTGTTGTTGTGGTATGACTATGGTTGCTGCTCATCTTTACGATGAGTTTATAAAAATGACACTTTCATTTGTGAACTGTACAAAACTCAAAACTGAAATCTTGGTTTTCTTCGACGGACGGTACGATCCTCTGCTGTCCTAACGAGAAATTACGACTCGCTGCACAAACCGGATGAAAGCAGTGATAAAGATCAAGCGTAACGTATTCGAATGCTCAAAAACGTCTTATTCGTGGTCTAACGAAAAAATCTATTCTACAGATATAATTTTTCTGTAAAGAGTGCAAAAGCTTTCATTGGAACAGTAGGGTCATGCGTCTATGGTGCAAAACAGATATCTGGATCTGGCACTGAGGGGCAAGTTCGTGTATCAAGGGCGTGTTTGAGCCACAGCCACAAAGTGAACAGAATCGTTGATGCGCAGTTTTCAAAAGACGCTGGATAAAAGGTGTCAGGCTGTAATGATACCCAATCAGACTCAAAGCTTCCGGTCTTCTTGTCACCTTCACTTTCCGTTGGCACAAAACCCTAGTCTATTGCACAACTCCTGACTGGTTATGCCGAGATAGTAAGTCCGCGTCAAAGTTGGTAAGGAAGATGTTCACGAAACCTCATTCCGTAAACATAAAAAGTAGAAAGTTGACGAAGTCTGCTGCTTATTTGTTGGTAAATGGGAATGTAAAAAAACTACTTAAAGATCACTAAAACTCGGCTCCCAAACATGCATTTTAACACAGACTAATCAGGTATTGCTTGTTTGAATTAACTTGATCGGGTGGTGGTGGCCCGGTGGTAATGTCACTAAATTATCACCCCGAAGGACGAGTGTTCGAATTCCTTACTTTCCCCATGTGCGTATTGTAAGGCAGCTCTTTGATTGGCTGCTCCCCCTTTCCGGAAAATTGTGTATTTGCGTATTCAATGAAAGGAAGTAAAAATGAAAATGAAATGAAATGAGTTATCTAATTCGAAGTTGTTTTGGAGTTCAACTGATGAATAGAAAAGGGAATCCTGTTGGATTCCAAGAAATGTCCTTCTACGGTAAACCTAAGGACTTCAACTAGTTATTACTTTCTGTTCACTGAAAATGGTAAACTTTCTAATCGAATTCCGAGATTTTCTTCATCACAACACTCGACATATTGGGTCATAATATCAATCCTTAGCTGCAAAAAACAAATTCACCTAACTTGAGGTTTTGTGCCTGTAATTCCGCAGTTTCACGCTCTTGTTTCGATTATTTCATCTGGGTCACACGTGTGACGATTCAGATAAGTCAAGTTAAATCGAGAATTGGTTTTATGGCATTTGTGATGCATATTCTACTAGCACATAACCAACAATTTGATCCATCAGGGAAGGTAAGTGGCTGGCCATTTGATCATAGAGCGACGAGCTATGGGCTATGGGCCGAAGATTCAATGTTGGACAAGGGTCAGCAGTA